TTGTCGTTGCCCCAGACAGCAGGAGATTGGATGTGCGACAGCCCCCTACATCCCCCATCGTTGCCCCCATCATTCCCTCCCCACTACCGCTACGATTCCAACCCTAATGCTGCCATCACTGTTTTGGCCATCCCAGCACCCTCCATCTCATCTCATCCTTATGCCTCACTGCCGCAACCCTGTAAAGCCCTCTCCTTGCTATCTACTAATGTTCAACCATCCCAGCAGCTTCCTTCCAGCCATCTTGCATCATTGCCACAAACCCACAAATTCGTCGCCTTGTTAAGCTACCGCTATCGACCCATCCTACATCGCCGCCATAACCCACTGCATTCCCCTTTTGTTGTCGCCCTATCATCCCACTCTCTAAGTAACCATTGATACCACTTAGGAGACCCAAATTTTCACAAATCTCCACCACTACCCCCAGATCTAGCCCTAGCTTGGGCTTGTGTTGTCGATTGTTGCAATTTCAGTTTTCCATGAGTCAATTATAATTTCTTATTTGAATTCAACAATAATATTTGTTTTTATGAGTGTTGCTTGGGTTAATTTCGGTACCATTTGGTATCAAAACTAGTTTATCCCTAAACTTATATGATTGTCGCCATATGGAGGACAATCCAAAAAGATCACCCGTAGCCACAATCGTGACTTACCAAATCGAAAGAATGCAGTGAATTCTTATAGCAGGTAAATTGCATAGATGAAGAAGCACTACCCTAAAGATTTGACCTGAACTATCTGAGAAAACATAAATTTGCCATATTTTGATGGTCACTTGAATCCATCGAGTGGCTCTATCCCACGAAACTTGTATTTGAATATTAGAATGTCTCATTCGATAGGATGATGAAACTAGTCGTTAGCAAGTTAAGGAAGAGTGTCTCTAGGTGGTGAGAGAACTTGAAGTTTCCTCGATATCACCGGGCTACCGCCGCATCTTACAAGCAGAATCCCCCAGATTATTATAGCTAGAGTACACCAGGGAACATCTAAGCCAACCCAACCTGAGAAGACACTAGTTCGGAGCGGAGAATAAGTGGTTCGATAGGATGATGAAACTAGTCGTTAGCAAGTTAAGGAAGAGTGTCTCTAGGTGGTGGGAGAACTTGAAGTTTCCTCGATATCACCGGGCTACCGCCGCATCTTACAAGCAGGGTCCCCCAGATTATTATAGCTAGAGTACACCAGGGAGCATCTAAGCCAACCCAACCTGAGAAGACACTAGTTTAGAGCGGAGAATAAGTGATCTGAGGGATGTATCCAAGGATCCAAGTGTTTTTTTTCGAGATGGTGCTTATCTTCCCCATCACCTTCTGCATCTACCCCTACAGCTACTCTTGAGCAGCGTCTATTTGATATTTTCACTGCAGCTTTCTAATTCCAACAGCCTATCCTCATTGTCGTTGCCCCAGACAGCAGGAGATTGGATGTGCGACAGCCCCCTACATCCCCCATCGTTGCCCCCATCATTCCCTCCCCACTACCGCTACGATTCCAACCCTAACGCTGCCATCACTGTTTTGGCCATCCCAGCACCCTCCATCTCATCTCATCCTTATGCCTCACTGCCGCAACCCTGTAAAGCCCTCTCCTTGCTATCTACTAATGTTCAACCATCCCAGCAGCTTCCTTCCAGCCATCTTGCATCATTGCCACAAACCCACAAATTCGTCGCCTTGTTAAGCTACCGCTATCGACCCATCCTACATCGCCGCCATAACCCACTGCATTCCCTTTTTGTTGTCGCCCTATCATCCCACTCTCTAAGTAACCATTGATACCACTTAGGAG